TCATCCAGGTATATAACAACAAAAAAGGTTGAATCATGTCATCTGGAGTCAGGGTGGCTTCTGGGTAATACCAGATGGCTAGGCCTCAGACCGACGAAGCCTCTTGGATGAGGGGCGAAACGTTTCTTTTTAACAAAAAAACGAAGTCCAGATGACATGATTCAACCTTTTTTGTAGTTTCAAGTTGTAGCAGGTTGTGTTGTACGGAAGAGCTTTAGGGCCACGGTGCAATAAAAAAAACCTTCTGATGAAAAAAATCAAAATTCTGAGATTAAAGTCAGAATTTGAGAAAAGTCGAAATTCTGACATTATTCAGAATTCTGAAGAAAAAAAATCAGAATTCTAAGAAAAGTGTCAACATTTAGAGTTTAAAGTCAGAATTTTAGAAAAAAGTCAAAATTCTTAGATTAAAATCAGAATTTTGAGATTAAAATCAGAATTTTGAGATTAAAGCCAGAATGCTCAGATTAGTGTCAGAATTCTGAGATTAAAGCCAGAATTCTGAGATTAATTTTAGACTTAAGGAAAAATAATAATTATTTATTAATCTTTATTTAATCAGGATCACAGATCTCTTTTTCAAGGGAGGCCTGGACCTGAAGGCAGCCAAACATGCATGTTTTTAGTCTGTGGGAGGAAACTGGAGTACCTGGAGAAAACCCATGCAAGCACGAGAAGAACATGCAAACTCCACACAGAAAGACCCCAGGTCCAACCGGGGATTGAACCCAGGACCTTCTTGCTGTGAGGCAACAGTGCTAACCACTGAACCGTCGTGCTTCCCAACAATAATTTTACCGTGGCCCTAATCCTCTTCCGTAGTGTTGGGATTATTTCAGCCACCATGTATTTTGTAAAGGAACAATGGCGCCAGGCAGAACATCTAACGTGGACATCTACGTGTTCCATTTTCAGCCGAAGACCAAAGGCCACGAGGAGGAGCTGGAACATCACGCTCAGTTCCTGTTGGTCAACTTCAACCACATCCACAAACGCATCCGCAGAGTGGCGGACAAATACCTGTCGGGTCTGGCTGAAACGTGAGAACACATCCAATTACACGTTTTTTTACCCGTAGTGCCAGGGACGCACCTGTACCAGGACCGGTTAACGGTCCGACCATATTAGTGATACCACGTTACTGCAGAGTGATGCTGACCTCTCAGGTGAGCTGGCAGGAGAGGAGAAATGTGGGCGTGTTGAGGGAACTCACAATGGTGACAAAGTGAAGCCATCAAATCGAACACTTTGAACTCAAACCGTTTGATAAAACTAACAAAAATCCAACGCTATGCTGAGATTAGAGCGTTTATTAATGGAAGATGTTGGGCAGGTTGTTCCAGAGTTTAGGGCCCACGACCCAAAAAGCTTGATCTCCTCTGAGCCTCAACCAAAAGCAGCTGGTCAGATGATCCCAGCACCCGAGAAGGAACTTATGGTTGAAGTAGATCAGAGAGACATGAGGATTTAAGGTCATTAATGCACGTAAAGGTCAACAGGAGAATTTTAAAATCTATTCTGATACGTACGGGGAGCCAGTGAAGGGAGGTCAGAACTGCTGAGATGTTCATTCAACCTTTCTTTATACAGGTTAGTCTCATTGAGTCACCAGGACTCAGTTACAAGAGAGACCTGTAATATATAAATGAGCTCAAACCTACGAGTTCCTGTTCAGAGCCGAGCTGCAGCATTTTGGACGAGCTGGAGACGTGACGGGGAGACCTGACTGACCCCATCATAAAGAGAGGTACAGTAGTCCAGCTGGGTTGTAATGAAGGCATGGACTAGGTTTTCAAGGTCAGATCTGGTCAACACGGACGTCTGTAGAGCTCTAGATGGATCTTAGGTGGAGCTTTCTGACTCTCCCCATGAGCTTTTTAAAAGACCGCTGCTGTCCTACTTTGTCTGAGGAGTCAACACAAAAATTAACCTCGTCTGATTTTTAATCACGTGTTTATAATTAAATAAAAATAAAGCATGGTGTTTGTGCACAGACTGTTTTGTTCATGGTTCAAATCCACGTGTTGTCAGGTTCCCACACCTGCTGTGGAGCGGTCGAGTGCTGAAGACCATGTTGGACATCCTGCAGACGCTCTCGTTGTCCCTCGGTGCTGTAAGTGATGATCGTTACCAGAGCCCGACCGATATGGAAATTTTGGCCATCACCGATATGATGGCTGAAAATGTTTTATCTTTGTCCACCCCCAAGAATGTAAGAAAACAGTGAGTGGAGCGGGGTTTGTTTATTTAGCACAGCTGTTAGCAACATGAAGCTAAGCTAATCAGATCTATGCTATATGTAGTGCCACAGTAGGTTTACAAGTGGAGCACTGGTCATAAAAACAGTCTTCTTAATGTGCGTTCACATTTTCTGTCCTCCACTGTTCACCATAAAGTTATCAAGTGTGTCACAAAAATATAAATTAAACAAAGAAACACCTTCCTGTTCATTGTTTAAACAGTCAGTCACGTATGATGGTCTAATTAGTATTGACCACAGCAGAGTTATTTTTTTTTGTAGAGAGTAAAGATTTCAGACAAACAATGCATTTCATTGAGGACGACAAAGATAATTTTACTGATATATTTTACCTCTACATTAGATTTATTGTTCTGGATAAAGTTTTACAAGGCAGTAGTCTATGCTAGGTTATCTTAACGTTAGTTTGCTAACTTGAGAGGCACGTAGCTCATGACAAGCACGTGTAGTAGTATGTCATATGGGATATATATTCATACTTTTCACGAGTTCCTCATCTTTCTGACTGTGTAAATGTCGTGCATTGAATTTTAACAGAAATGTAACGAGAGACGTTATTTATCTTTGACCCATCAAAATGAATGCGGTCATTTATTTTCAGAATCAAAGTTTAACATCAAACATTTACATTAATTTGGCAAAATATGAAAATAATAACAGACAAGTTTCACACTTGGAGGATTGAGGAGAATTTATTATTGTGGATTTGTTTTAATTTTTACAGATCAATTAAAATCAACTCACCATGCTCTGTTCAGTAAAATACTCTACACAGTAATGCTCCCAGCTTCATCTGTGCTGAAAGTGAAACTTAAGTGAACGGCCATGACTTGAAAGTTGTCTTCATGTGCCCTCTGCTGGATGCATTGTATAATTACAGCTGGTTCCTGCATTTTAGGGATGAAAATTAGAAATGCTTATATTAGCGTATAATGGAACAATTATCACCGATATATCCCCAAATATATATCGACCTAAAATATCAGCCCCAACAATAAATTGGTCGGGCTGTAATCATTACATCATTGGACAAATGTCTATCTTCATCCCATCAGGATGTACTCAGTGTCCCTGCTGTGTCTTACAGGACATCCATAAGGACCAGCCTTATTATGACATTCCAGACACACAGTACAGAATCACCGTCCCTGACACGTACGAAGCCAGAGAGGTAAGACTTTATTTTCACGGTTCATTCACTCCGATGTTTCCCTCCTTCACGTCCTGTTCTCTGACCACTTTCAGTTATTTCAGCCGATAGTTTCAAAACGTTCAGCTCGTTCTTTAACTTTTGGTATTTGTAACTTTTATACGTTTGGGTTTTTTAACTTTATTTACATTTTCATAGAAATGCATTAAAACATTATCCTTTTTGAAATCTTCAGCATACTTGCTTTATTTTTAGCTTTTAGCTTCTGTTTTTCTCATTTTAGCTTCCATTTACCGTTTTGGTAGATGGCTTTTAGCAGCTGTTATGCTGGTGTAGTTTTTGTTTTGCTAGCTTGAACTCATAGTTAATTTTTGCTAATGTGATGCTCTTACATTTAGCAAATTTTAGCTTCTGTCTACTGTTTTACTAATTTTAGCTTTTAGCAATTGTTCAGATAATTTTAGTTTTTTGTTGGACGTTGGTGAAGGAAACAAAGGATGAGGAAGTGATGGGTAGGTTTGGTGTGAAGGAAAGAAACCAGGAAGAACAGATGGTGGTGGATTTCACCAAGAGAATGGAAATGGCTGTAGTCAACACTTATTTCCAAAAGAGGGAGGAGCATAGAGTGACCTATAAGAGTGGAGGAAGGAGTACGCAGGTCGACTACATTCTGTGTAGAAGAGGAAACCTGAGGGAGATTGGAGACTGTAAGGTTGTGGCAGGGGAGGGCGTGGCCAGACAGCATCGGATGGTTGTGTGTAGAATGACTGTTGTTGTGAAGACGAGAAAAAGAGTAAAATCAGAGAAGAAGACCAAATGGTGGAAGATGAAGAAGGAAGAATGTTGTGATAAGTTCAGAGAGGAGCTGTTAAAGGCTCTGGGTGGTAAGAAAGAGCTTCCAGATGACTGGGCTACTACAGCAACAGTAATTAGAGAGACAGGTAGGAAGGTACTTGGTGTGTCATCTGGACAGAGAATGGATGATAAGGAAACCTGGTGGTGGAATAGTGAAGTGCAGGAAGATGTTCAAAGA